GATAATGTGTGTGTGTGTGTTAAAATATATTAGTTAACTATAGAAGTCAGGTAATGGTTCGAGTAACCGTAACCTAACACAATGGGGCGGATTAGTATGAAACCGTAACCACCCCCATTACCCGTTAAATATATCGGTTAATCCCCACCCCATACCCGTTACCCAGTCAACATGGTTTCCCCCGTTTTGAACAAATCGGTTCGGTGCGGGTACAGATTTAATAGTATTGTCATCCATATTTGTGCGCCAAATGAAAGGGTGGGATCTGCCCCACCTAAGGTATTTTAAGACCAAGGAAAACTTTATTGATGCCCCTTCAACGGGGGAATTTTATACATGGACCAAGGGCCCTTGTGGGCTAAACTTAATCGGGTACTCATAAACTCCGTTTGGAGGCAAATTTTGATTGCGTGTGTGGCCCATTTCCAAGAGATGGAGGTAGAGTTCGATTCTACAAAACACATCCTTGAGGGTCAAACCTTTTAAATTCTATAATATGTGGCTAAAGCATCCTGATTTTGCTAATATAGTTGAGCAGGTTTGGCTTCAATACATAGATGGAACGGCCGAACGGCTTAATTTTCATTTGTTAAGAAACTTAATGGGTTCAAGGGGCCTCTAAAGAATCTAAACAAAACAAATTTGGGCATATATTTCTTATAAAGACAAAGAAGTCAAAAAGGAATATCAAAGGATACATAGTCTTGATTTGGAACCCCACTCAATGAGGCAAAAAGGGTCCTACCTTTTTTGGAGAGGCTGAAACAAGCTTGTTCCAACAAAAGGCAAATGCAATGCATATATTTGAGACGAACAAGGGTACAAAGTATTTCCATGCTATTGTGAAGCGTAATATGGACGGGAACTCCGATCCATTACTTCACTCACATGGGAAGATGGTTCACATACTACTTTGGACCAAGTCAGACAAGAATTTGTAAGTTTTTTTCATGAGCTTGTTTGGTGCAAATTTTGAATCTGTTGATATTGACCCCAATGTCATGACATCTGGGACTACTCTTGATTCAGAACTATGTGAGGGATTCGTTGGGCCTATAACTTATATAGAGAATTAGAGATCAAGAATGCCCTCTTTGATATAGGAAATGATAAGACCCCAGGGCCGTATATGGATACTCGGTTGCTTTGTTTTAAATAAAATCGGTGCATGGATGGGGATGACATGTATAATGTTGTTAAGGAGTTCTTTTCATCATGTATGTTACTTAGGAAAATCAACCATACGGTGCCCTTATCCCGAAAAACACACTCCCCTTGGGTATTAGATTTTAGACCAATCTCTTGCACTAACATCACTTATAAACTTATCACAAAAATTATTACTTCAAGGAAAATTTGTTGATGGAAGCTTAATGTATGATAACATTTTCCTCGCTCAGAAACTTGTTAGAGGATACACTAGGAAGCGTGTGTAATACCCGAGATTAATTTAAGAGGATTAATAGTACTACTCATACCAACAGAGGTGTACCTCCTTTTAAGGGAGCTCAACACCAAGAACTTCAATGTTAAGCGTGCTTGCACGGGAGTAGTCTTGGGATGGGTGACCCCCTGGGAAGTTTCTCAGGGCGCACATAAGTGAGGACAAAGTGCGCAGTAAAGGCTCGTGGTGGTTTGTGGGGACAGTACTAGAGGTCTGGAGTAACTATCTCGGGGCCTGCGGGGCCGGGGTGTTACAGGTGGTATCAGAGCAACCCTGTGACAGTGTGCTGAACCGTTGGATATCGGGCAGACACTTAGCAGGGGAAAAGATTATGGGGTTTGATTGAGATTGGTTTAAGGGCGCAACGAGGACGTTGTGATCCTAAGTGGGGGTGATTGTAATACCCGAGATTAATTTAAGAGGATTAATAGTACTACTCATACGAACAGAGGTGCATCTTCTTCTAAGGGAGCTCATCACCTAAGAACTCCAAAGTTAAGCATGCTTGCACGGGAGTAGTCATGGGATGGGTGACCCCTGGGAAGTTTCTCATGGCGCGCATGAGTGAGGACAAAGTGCGCGGTAAAGGCTCGTGGTGGTTTGTGAGGACAGTACTAGAGGTCTGGAGGCTGTGTGGAGTAACTACCTCGGGTCCTGTGGGGCCAGGGTGTTACAGGTGGTATCAGAGCAACCCTGCGACAGTGTGATGACCCGTTGGATATCAGGTGGGCACTTAGCGGGGGAAGATTCTGGGATTTGATTGAGATTTGAGATTGGTTCAAGGGCGCAACGAGGACGTTGCGATCCTAAGTGGGGGTGATTGTAACACTTGAGATTTAATATAAATGGATTAATAGTACTACTCATACCAACAGAGGTGAATCTCCTTTTAAGGGAGCTCATCACCCAAGAACTCCAAAGTTAAGTGTGCTTGCACGGGACTAGTCTTGGGATGGGTGACCCCCTGGGAAGTTTCTCAGGGTGCGCATGAGTGAGGACAAAGTGTGCGGTAAAGGCTTGTGGTGGTTTGTGAGGACAGTACTAGAGGTCTGGAGTAACTACCTCGGACCCTGCGGGTCCAGGGTGTTACAACGTGTTTCACCTAGATGTATGATCAAGGTGGATTTACTGAAGGCTAATGATACAATCTCATGGAAGTTTTTGGCTAGCATTCTCAATGGTCTCAATTTTGCATTATAATTCATTAAGAGGATCATGGAATGTGTGTCCACAACCTCGTTTTCAATTTCTTTGAATGGTTTACTACAAGATTTCTTTAAAGGCAAGTGGGGCATCAGACATGGTGATCATATGTCATCCCTTCTATTTGTCATTTGCCTTGAATATTTTTCCCACTTCTAAAAAAAGATCAAAGTGCTCAAGTTTTGATTTCCATTCGTTATGTGGTTTCCTTGGCATCACCCATTTTGCATATGCAGATGACCTAATGCTCTTCGAGGAGTAATTCAACCTTGATTAAAATCTTGGTTGATGTCTTAAAAGACTTTGGGGATGTTTCGGGCCTTATGGTAAACCATGACAAATCAAACATCTTTGTTGAGGGCATTCCGGATTATGAGCTTGCGCATATTCTGGACCTTGTGGATTTTGGTCGTGGGCAATTCCCGATAAAATACATTGGGATTCCTCTAGCGCCACTTAAAATTTCTGTTGCACAATATGCTCCATTGCTTGATACGGTTACTGATTTTTTAAATACTTGGAACACTAAGACCATTTCGTACATTGGAAAAATTGAGCTCATACACTTGATTGTTCAGTGTGTCCAATCGTTTTGGTTGCAAGTGTTCCCAGTTCCTCGAGCAATCATGGGCAGAATTGTGGCGATATGTAGGATCTTCCTTTGAGGAGGCAAATATGTCAAGGTAGTTTGAGATGATATATGTCTTCCCAAAGAAGAAGGAGGCAAGGCATCTGGAAATCAAACGTTTGGAATGCTGCCCTACTAACTCGCAATTTATGACACATTCAACACACTAAAGCAGATACATTGTGGGTGATGTGGGTGCATAATGTTTATCTCAAGGGTAGATATGTGTGGGTTTTACCCCAGACAACCGTGTTTCCCAACTAATGAAGAGACTCAGCCTTATTCGAGATAATATATGTAATCAGTTTTCTTCCACTATGGGGAATCATGGATTTCAACCTAACAATATGTGTGACATTAGTGAGATTATATCTTCTGAAGTGTATGAGCTTCTGCGAACAAGAGAGACTGTAAGGATGTGGAAGGCCTTCATTTACAAGGATTATATCCCACCTAAATTCTAATTTACAACTTGACTGGCTTTTAGAAGTAGATTGCCCACCAGGATATGCTTAAACATTATCATATTGTAAACATGTGTAACCTATGCAATTAGAACTTGGTTGGGCATGGATCACCAAATGACTGCCAATTGAATAAAGAATCATTGAGGAGTGAACATCAAGGCAACGGCTGCCAGGATTAATTGCTTTTTGTGCCATAGTTTACTGGATTTGGCATGCTCGAACTGCAATAAGATTTGATGAGGCGACAATGAAGGAGAAAAATATTATTGCAAAGGTCAAACATATGGTCTATAAGGTCATAAATAACAAATATCCATATGAGATGGTTACCTTTTGAAGAAAATGGACAGTGCCGATGATGCATAAGTGTTGAAATCAAGTTGTTCCAAAGTTTGATATGCCCCGGGCTAGTTTTTGTAATACTAAAAGTGTTTTGCCGCTTGCAACACTTGAACTTTTGCTAGACGTAGACTAGCTAGTCTTTTAGATGAGGGTAGGAGGGTAGTGGCCTCTTTGTTGATTAGGTGCTTTCTTTTTTCACGGTAACACTTAAAATTTTGATTTTGGACATATGTTGTGCATAAAAACCTTTTTTCGAACCGACCTCGCCATTTTCCCACATTCATTTTAGCACTATAATTCAATATCCCTCCTTACTTTATTTCATGGATTGGCTAACATTTATTGCTAGCTCTAGTCTCCTCCATTGTAGCTAGTGCATTAGTTATCGATATTAGCTTCAGTGTGAGTCATTAGAGTAGAAGTTTTAGCATATTGTGTTCGACGAGCCTATCACGTCGAGCCTAATTATTTAATTCATTACAATAATCAAACAAATACGATGAAAGACTTTGGGTCACACATTTGGATAGAGAGAAATCAAGGATTACTCGATTTGTAAATGCCAATAAAATGACAATACCATAATATTAGTCTGAAATGATTGTACATCTAGGATCATTCTAAGAAAAGAGAGTACGGTGGCAGTGACACTGGCACGTATTTGCGCATATCTTTCTTTTTTATTAAAGCTATTCTTGCCTTCTTTTTCAAACCACGCTTTGGAGCTTTTAACTATGAATTGATTTTAGCTTTATTGACCATGTCAAAAAGCTAACTTCTATGCCGAGTAATCCCTATTGCATGAGCTCAAGTAACCTAAAAAAGGTTATGCAGTAATTTGTAAAGATACTCCGTATGAAATGTGGCTTTTGGAATAGTATTTTGTATTTAAGTTATGCACTAATTTGTTTATAAATTCAATTCTTATTAAGATAGATTTAATTTGTTTAGAAGTTACATGTAGAGCTACCAGTTGGATACTCAGATTCATGCTCATGCATAACCAAAACCCCACTTGTGTCAGTGTGTGTGGTCCACAAGATTTGGGCAGACTTGGCCAAGCATGGGTAAAGAATGGTGAAAGCCTCAATTCATTCCTAACCCTGGCCCACATAAGTACAAGTCTGAAATCCATCATGACTATGAAGAAGATCAGTTAGCTCATAAATGATGACCATAATTGCAATTCTACTAACGAAACGGAAAAAGGTTTCCAATTAAAGAAAAAAGGAATAAGGGTCAGATAGGGCTTCGAACTTGGAAAAAAATGTCAAATAAGGCCATATTTAGGATGCTATGTCCGGCTGACGCCATTTGGGGCGGTTCCCGGTGGAATTTTTTAATGAATTTTTTTGAGAATCTTATTCATTAAGTCTAGTTTAATCATATCAAATTTGAACTAACAATTTATCTTCAAGAATTCATTTGAATGCCTTCCCGATTGAAGTTTTAGTTCAAATTTGATATGAGTAAACTAGACTTAATGAATAAGATTCTCAAAAAAAATCATCAAAAAATTCCACCGGAAACCACCCCAAATGGCGTCGGCCGGACAGAGCATCCAAAATATGGCCTTATTTGACATTTTTTTTTCAAGTTCGAGGCCTTATCTGACCCTTATCCCAAGAAAAAAAGAACTGTTGGATTTCCAACCACCAGCTCAGTTCTAAGAACAGAGAATGAATCAAAGGAAACCAATTAGATTAGATAGACTGACTCTTCATCCCTACCACCACCCTCTACTACAGGCAGACTTCCTCCTCCTGAGCTGGTTGCTGCAATGCCGCTCCTTCACTTAACACCCCTAACAGCTTCATAACCTTCCTAGCTTAAACACCAATTGCTAGCTACCCTTCTCTGATGACTATGCTTCCTCTGCCGAATTAGATGGTGGCGGAGGTAGCATCTGTCTTCCACACCTCAAAGGCATAAGTATCCCTTGGCTACCACACTCAGTCCCTGGAAACATCCCCACTTTGCTTTGTCTGCTTTGCCTTGTCAGTCGGCTCGCTAGCAATTCCAATGCCTCCATCATCCATCCCTTCACACAAACCTCCCTTGCTTCGCCGATACTTATCTGCATTTTTATTATTATCACATTTAGAAATTATTAATACATAAACATGCACACACAACAAGTACTAATACTACTATATCTTTATATTTAGTTATTTACCCAGTGTCTTTGACGAATATTCATCTCGGGCCAACAATCTAGCTCCTCTTTTACCAGCAATGGGAACATGTGCCCTTCACAAGCATTGCCACTTCTCATGCTTCCGAAATTCCACGTTCCAAGTTTACACTGCAATCCAATACACAGGGAATTGATAGAATACAGCTTTAGTTGCGGTCATAAAACACTTACGCAGTTATACCAACCACACAAACAGAGAGTTGTGTAGGAAGAAGCTAGATTCTTTTTAGTTTAGCTCTAGATTCACCTCATTTTTTACCATTTCATGACAAGGTTTTCATATATCTGAGACTCACCTCAGAAAACCATTGTAAAAATCTTTTGAATCAGATGTTTAAGGAACTTGACCACTCTTTATTACAGAGTAGTTTTTTAAAAGGGCTCACCTAGATTTTTATCTCAGTTTAAACAAACTTATATGATATTTACCTGGATTATTATATACGTAAGGTCGTAAACCCAGCATTTTTAAACCTAGATTCACTTAAAAGCACTGGTTTCACTTAAGTTCACTCTATCCAACTGGAGACTAAAAGATTGAACCTAATCTGTTAATTAGTTACCAATATCTTATTACATTTGCCATTCTCGTTAATTTTACAATGCGAGATTGTAACATGAAAAAAGCACTGAGAAATCGATAATGGAGACCAGAAAACTAACCTCAATATCTCCTACCACACCAGCTTCCTCAATCGTCTCTCGAAGCGCTGCAGCTTCAATTGTTTCATCTATTTCCCAACCGCCCTGGAAAAAAGACAACCCCAGACAGAAGTTTATTACTTTGTATGTAAATCGAGAAACTCCCACCACATGGTTTTTCATAAGTTTGTGATTTCTGCAATTTTGTAAAATAATCACAAACAACATTGGCTTACCTTGGGAAACAACATCCCTTTGCCTTTTCTCTGTGGACTAATGACAAGAACCTCATATGCATCCTCATCTAAACAAGGCAATGTGTTGATTCTATCCTTGTACCTGTAGGGTATACATCTGCACAACCAATACAAACAGCTTAGAATCCAGCAGGATGATGCTAAAATGGAATACAGAGAAACCCAAAATTCGAAAACAAGTTTAACGATGAAATTATCATGTCTTGAGACTCTTGACCCTTTGGTTTCTTTTAATAACCAGGATCCTCTTCTGAAAAACAAAACAGGTTGAATTTACCCGATTCTAATACTAGTATTATTAACTGCAATTATTATTGTTTATAATAAAGTGCAGCCCAGTCAACTATGTACGAATCAAAACGCTCCGTGTAATACCAAACGTTCATGCCGTGTTGCTACCGTGTACCCGACTTCTCCAATAACTCAATAATTCATTTTCTAGTTTTCGGAAAATAACTTCTCCAATAACTCTGTAATTCTAACCAGTACAGAAAGCTAGGCTTATGAGACGTAATCTTTCTACAGAAAAATATTAAAATAAATATAAACATCAAAAGTCTCAGGTCAACGCCCTTTGTGAGAGAAATAAAACAATAGAAGAAAATTTCCAGACGATTTCCTGGACTTATCTACCAACAAAAGACACAATTATGAAGGACCGGAATTTCAGCAACTCGTTTTTTTTGCCGTTTTGTTCAGGGGGGCGGGGGAGCGAAGAGAAGTACCCGACGACTTGACGGAGACCATTGTCGTAGCGCTGCAAATGCCGGCCGGTGCGTGAAACCAAAGCAACCATGTTTTCATATTCCATTTCAGTGTGGGGAACTAAGTGCGCTCTAGAATCAAGGGAAGCGAATGATGGAAAGGAAGAAGAGGGAGCTTAATAAAGTAGAGGAGGAAGGGAATGTGAATAAGGGAAGAGGAGAATCCCCCAAAAGGAGAAGGAAGGAAGGAGGCAGGAAGGATGAAAGCTGAAAAGGAAGAATTGGTTTAGAATGTCTACTTTCTCTTACCGGGATGGGGAGAAACCGTTAATGGCAGGGCAGGAAGGCATCTATTTTTGGTTTTGGCAAAACAGGGAAAGGCATCTATTGAGAGTTGAGTTTTCAATTTCGAAACCGCCCGATATTGATGATTAACTTTTGTTAATGGTAGTGATGATCCACCACTTACGTGTAATTGACCAGACACGTCCGTTTTATAGTGACCCGTTGTCGCGTCTCAACACTTTCCAATCAAAAATACTTCCTCCCTTCTTAAATAAATACAACAGTCAATATTTCACATTTGTCAAGGCACAACTTTGACCATTAATATATATATATATTTCTTGATTAGTAAAAAAATTAGTAAAATTAGATTTTGAAAATTTACACTGAGACAAATTTAACAATATTTTTTTCAAAAATATATATTAATACATTAATAAATGAAACGTAGTCAAAGTAGAACATGTGAATAGTGTGTGTAAAAGTCAAAGTGTTGCATTTATTTAAGAACGAGAGTAGTAATATGGAGTACTACATACAAAATTGGTTTGTTGGTGCACACCTTTCGTACACTCGTCTGTTTCACGTATCAAATTTCAGCTAAAAGTTCAATTGAGAATGCAGTCAAATGAATTTTTGAAGAAAATTGCGCAGTTAAACAGCGCAGTACATTTCATAAAATCATTTGACTGTCTTCCCGGTTGAATTTTTATCTGAAATTTTGTATGGGTAAACTAGACTTAATGAAGAAGATGCTCAAAAAATTTCATCAAACATTTCCATTGGGAACCTCCCCAAATGACGATGCCCGGACAGAGCCTCCTATATAAGGGGTGATTTGCACTTTTTAAGTTAGTTCGAGGGCATATTTGATCTCTAATCCTAAATGTATGTGATATTCAAGTGATGAAATGTCCAAGTCCACAATCTTTATACGAGGTTCTAAGCTCGATCGTAGAGTACAAGCTCGAATGCAGCATGTCCACTAAGAGGTAAGTAACCTCGGCTCATAGTGTGAAGTAATAATGCCCTTATTTGTCTTGGAGTAGAAAAGATCAGGTCCATCCGGAGGGATGGGAGGTGTCGTCCGGCCAAGGCCATCAGAGGCCCTTCCCGGTGGAATTTTTTGATGAAAGTTTTTGAGCATGTTCCTCATCACGTCTAGTTTATCCATACCAAATTTTAGCTAAAAATTCAACCGGGAAGACACTCAAATGATTTTTGGAAGATAACTGTGTTTTATATTTATATAAACTGCGTAGTTAACTTCCAAAAATCATTTGACTGCCTTCCCGATTGAATTTTTAGCTGAAATTTGGTATGGATAAACTAGACTCAATGAGGAACATGCTCAAAAAATTTCATCAAAAAAGTCCACTGGGAAGGACCCCAAATGGCGACGTCCGGAAGGCGGGTCCTGTCCCTCCGGCTGGACAGGATCAGGCCTCGTCTTGGAGCGCGCTCATGATGCGATAATTGGCCTTGAGCTCGGTTGTAGTGTTGGAATTACCAACCTCGGTGAGGGTCGACCTTGGCCTCGACTGCAGCTTTGGACTAATCTCTATGATTTAAGAACCGGTTTCGAGCTCGGCCTCAGCAGGCTCGACATTGGCGGCCTCATCCGGAGTTGCCTTGGTGAATTTCTGGAGATCTTTTATTGTATATGTTGGTACCCATGAAGTATATGACAATATACTCCATCATGAGTCTCCTACTCTCTGAGGCGAGATTCATAGTTGAAGTGATAGAGAGTAGTTCTTCAACAAAGCTTGCGCACCGGCAGAGGGCCGTTCTTTCCATGATAAACTCCGCTAAGGAAAAAACCTATGTGAAGGAATCCTAATCGAGGGAAACGAGTACATCCACCTTGAAGCAATTTCCAGATAAGAAGGTGATGCCAAGCTTGGCCGCTTCATAAGGGATGGGAAATCCGAGCTTGGTGCACCATAGTTGTTATTTGTTAACGAGCTTTATTTTCATGTTCCTACAGGTTAGTTTACTTCCACGACCGTGTAGCCAAGAGCTGATTGAAAATCTAAAATACTCCGTAATTAATAACGAGTTTGGTGTAAAGTTGTACCTAGTGAATTGATGTAATAACGGAGGTAGTTGGTTGCTATATGAGATGAGCTTGTATTCTTCGTTATTTTTGCTCGTAGATTTTGCATGAGCCCTCACTTATCAGTCTTCCACTCTTGGCTCTTCCACTGTTTGAAGCTTTTGTGATTTTGTCATGTATCAATTAAACATAAAATTAAACTCAACATTTAATATGAATGGTTACATAAAATTAAACCATGATGCGCATCTGTTTGTAATTTTCAAACTATCAGAATTAGATTATTTGATTCAATTTTGATCATATTTCAAGTGCATGTGGTATTATGCGTACACAAGGTAATTACAAATATGACTGAAGCATAGATTTATGACTTTTCATCAACTTCAGTGGCTGACAAGATTTCTTGATGGAGTGGAGCTGTAGTCGCCTGTAGATATGGGAAAACATACGAGCTCACAAATAGATCTTCTAAGTTCTAAAGGCTTCTAAGATGGCAGTATGTACCATATGTAACTTGAGTCCATGGTTTCCCTTCTATCAGGGGCGGACCCAGGAAATTGATATTGGGGGCGATAATTTAAACAAAAAAATCTAGGCGAGTATTATTATAAGTTATAACCTTAATATAATACGGAGTAGTAATTAAATGAAGCATTATAATAGAAGAAAAGACAAATATTTTATTACAAAATAGTTAAAGTTAGTACCTTAGAATTGTACCCAACGCTTCTTCAACGAGATAAATTCCTCAATCACGGCTTTTTAGTCAAAAGTTTTAGCAATTTCTCTTTCAATATAAACAATAAGGTTGTCTGCGACATACTCATCCTCCATTTTATTGTGAAGCCTTGTTTTTATAATTTTCATTGCGGAAAAAGTCCTTTCAATTGTTGCTGTCGAAACCGGTAGAGTCAACAAAAGTCGGATCAATTTATCAACAAGCTAAGAAAGTACACGTTTGACATCTCCGTCTTCGCTAATCTTTGACAAAGTTCACCCATTGTAGAAAAATTTGCCAATTTTGGATGGTTTAGAACATTGAGCTTATAATGTTGCAATTGAAACCTCAAGCTCACCTTCTCCTGCTCAATAAAATCAAAGGGGTAATATTTATCCACTAAAGAACAGATATCATCAATGTTAAAAGACTTCTATGAGTCCTTAGGATCCAAAGCACCACTAAGAGTAAGAAGATTCATTATCTGTTTACCGAATTTGCTATTCAGCTCCAACAATTGTGAATCTATGGCTATGTAAAACATATCAACCCGATAGTGACGTTCAATATCAAACCCTTCTTGATCATGGCGTTTGCGTTTTACCGCATAAGGAGACTTCATATTAGGAACTTCAATTTCATGCTTTGTGTAAAACTCTTTAACAATTTCTAAGAAGTTATCCCATCCACCCTCCCTTAACTTTTGGATCAACATTTTGGTGCTTGACACCAAATGCATAGCATTTACTATGTCTTGGCACTTCTTCTGTATATGCTGACATAGAAGATCTGTAATGCCCATAATTTCTTTAATAAGATGCAACAAGAAAAAAAATCAAAAGATTTAATCTTCTTAAATTCTCTAGCTGCATTTCCACGAGTAGAATAGTTATTGCCATTCTCTTCAACATCTTCTAAAACAGAACAAGTTGCAGCAAACATCCTAATCAAACTGCAAACAGAACTGAAATGCGAGCTCCAACGAGTTTCCCCAGCTTGTTGTAATGTACCAACCTAATTAAGTCATCTACTTGTTTCAAGCTCACCAATTTCCAACATTCAAGTGCTTGAGCTTCCTTTAATTCATCACTTCGTTTGCAAGAAGAATTAGTCACATTAATAATAAAGACTGAATCGATGAAAAAATTGTGCACATATTTCACCTCTCTAGAAGCAGCAACCAATGCTAATTGCAACTGATGTGCTAAGCAATGAACATAGTAGGCATAAGGACAATCATTTAAAAATAATCGATCTTTCCGTTTCTTTCTTCTAGATGCGCATGATTTTCATTAGTTTGGTCTGGGCTGTGGGCTGGGATTAGATTTTGGGGTGGGTTAATGGGGAATAAATTTTGGAGTGAGTTGATATAATATTACTTGTAAAATTTCTATTTTTTAGGCTCTTAAACAATTGGGTTTCTGCGAGTGGACTATGCTTTGGGGGAGAAAATATTTTTTGGGGGGGTTCAAAATTTTTCTTGGAGGGGCGAGAATTAAATGTTGGGGGGTACAAATAAAAATTTTGTATATATATATATACACTAAAAAAAATTGTTAGGGGGGCGGCAGCCCCCCTGGGTCTGTATTACGGTCCGCCCCTGCCTTCTATCTAATATTATGTATGTACCTTGGTGATTTATGTATTTCAGTGATTTTGAGCATCAGGAGGCGCCAATTGGCCAATGCATAGGAAAGTGTCAAAACTTAAAAAAAAATGGTAATTACAACTATATACTCTCTCCCATTCTAAGGTTCTCACCTTCCATTTTTGAACGTGTGAACTAAGAATTTTCATTTTCTATTTTAAGAAACAATTGACAGTCTTGAATAAGAATCTAATTCATCAAATATTAAAAAACTACTTCTATAACATCTATAATCATCAATAGCCTTTATATTATATAACAATCAAAACTATTTATCAAAATACACTCAAACTAGCATATTTAATTATTATTTACACAATTGTGTCATTTCACAATGATAACATTTGAATGGAACTAAGGTAGTACATTACACTATAGAATACTACAATATTTTATAAAGATAAAAGAGCAAATACAAACACCTCTTGATTTACAAACTATAAACTCATCTTGGTCATCCGATGAGTTGATCTAAAAGTTACAGATGCATGGTAACATTTTGATAATAAAATCAAACTTTTTTAGGATGTAGCACTTTGAACGTTAATATGTAAGTGCTTATTTTATTGCAGAATAACATGCAACACTTTGAACGTTAATATGCAATGCAAATAGTTTGCAGATGCATCGTACAAATATTTGCACAATAAGCCATGTTTGTACCTGATCCGGCCCCATTATATAAATACATTATGTACAAAGTAAGTATTGTTGTTAATAAGTAAACAACTTTCATCATGAAAGCGGTCATTACGAAATGTCATGACCTTTTGATGTTAGGTCGGACACTCGGACAGCTTCCTAACACCTTCCCATGTAATGATATAGTAGCCTATATGCTTTGTTCAA